AGGAGTGGTCTATAAAAAAATTTTTTACCTGTGGTCCTCAATAAAAAATGCACTTATATTGTGAACCAGCATTCACCTAGCAGTATTTACTCTTATTATGCATGATGCACTCTGATATTTTTAGCCTTTTCCCTTTTCCTGCAGCTTTTGTTTAATGCTGCTGTCAGGGCTGAGGCTCTGGATGAGGGCCACACTGCAGACCAGCCCTGTGACCTTGGCCAGGCTCCTTCCCACAAGCTCCTCAGGTGTAAAACAGATTTGTTTACACCTCGTGAAGAGGGTAAAGTTGGTAGAAATGTCTAGCGAGGTCCCTGGCACACAGTGTATTTCTGTACACACCAGCTGAAGTGCATCTTTGCGGGTCGGTGGTGCCTCCAAGAGTTGATGGTACTCTTGCTGATCTGGTCCACCATTTGCCAGCAGTTTGCATTGGTAGCCTGCTTGAAAATGGTCCACCGTTTCTCCTGGGGAAAAGGGAGTCCCTCCAGCTGTCTGTGTGTGTCATGGCTGCATGTGCATTTCACTTCCCAGCCACTCTGTGTAGGTAAACATTGCATACACCCTCCGTCCCCTCCTTTCCTTGGTCTCTCACCTCCTGTTCTCTCAGGAGGAGGAGATCCTACCTCCAGGGCACACACAGGGATGATCACAACACAGAGAGATCTGCGGACCTTGCTGAAAATAACTTCAAGACTATACTTACATCCCACAGTATAAATCGAACATGATTTAATGTGGGCTTTTGCATTCTTTAACTGGAGGCAGTGTTGTACAGCAGAAAGAGAATGAATGCATAGATTTCAGATGGTACAGCCTTCAGTTTGAATGTCCCTTGGCCTTCCTGAGACTGAGTTTCTTCACCTGTGAAATGTGGATAATATGTATTCTTGAAGGAGTATGAATGGGATGAAATGTGTAGAATACCTAGGGTAGTGGTTGCTGCGAGCCTTTATTGCATGCACATTTCCCTGTCCCAGGCAAGGCATTGTGCCTTTGCGAACATCCGGGCTTCCCCCTCTTGGAGAGCCTCCTCCTGCTTGCCCACCTGAACCCCTTCTAAGCTCTGCACTGCTATAACTTTGTATTCATAGCCCTTGTACTCCACTGGGTTGCTCCCTGTGGCCCACTGGGTGTTTATTGCCCACCTTGCATTGATCTTGCACTGGCTGTTTGCAATGCACAATAGAGCTACTATAGCTCTTTAGGTTTCTGTTCTTTTCCTTGAGAGTATGCTTTTGTTAAGACTTTATTTTATTTATTTTTTGTTGATTGATTTTTGGGGTGGAGAACGATAATGATTTGTTGTTTCACCCATTCACATATTCCCTGGTTGGTTCTTGTTTGTGCTCTGATTGGGATGGAACCCACAACCTTGGCCTGTTGGGACAGCCGTCTAACCAGCTGAACTCCTGTCCAGGGCAAGAGTACATTTAAAAAAAACAGTTATATTGAGGTATAATTGACATAAAATAAAATGAACCTGTTTGATAAGATCTGATGTGTACACACCTGTGAAACCATCACTGTCAAAAGTTTCTTTAGTGTAGTTTTCAGTTTTTAGAATAATGTAAATGGAATCATAGAGTATGTCCTTCTTCAGCAGGCTTCTTCCATTCAACATAGTCATTCTGAGATGTATCTGTGTTATGTGTATCAATAGTTTATTCCTTTTTATGTTGAGATGCACTGCAGTTTGTTTCTCCTCTCATCTGTTGATGGGCATTTGGGTTTCCAGTTTTTGACTGATGCAAATAAAGTTGTTATGAGTTTTCAGGTACAAGTTTTTGTATGAACATATGCTTTTATTTCTTTTTGGGTAAATACTTAGCAGGGGGAATGATTGGGATAATATAATAGATGTATGTTTAACTTCTTAAGAAACCATCAAACTTTTCCAAAATGGTTTACCATTTTACATTTCTACTAGCAGTGTATTAGAGTTCTAGTCCTTCCATGTCTTTGTTAACACTTGTTCCTGTCTGCCTTCATGATTTCAGCCGTCTTAGTGGGTATGAGTAGTATGTCATTGTTTTGATTTACATTTTTCTGATGACTAATGATTCGTTGACATCTTTTCATGGGCTTACCTTTACCTTTCATAAATCTTTGAGAAATTGTTTAAATCTTTTGCCCCACCCTTTTTTAAAAACTGGATTTTGTTTTCTTATTAGTGAGTTTTTAAAGTTCTTTACCTATTGTGCATATAAATCCTTTTTCAGGTCCCGGTCAGTTGGTTAGGTGTCATCCCGACACACTAAGGTTGCAGGTTCACTCTCCAGCCAGGGCACCGAGAAGACTCAACCAGTGAATGCAGTAAATGAGTGGAACAGAAAGTCGATGTTTCTCCCTCCCATCTCACTTCTCTCTGTCTCTAAAAATCAGTTACTAAAGAAAAAAGTTTTACTCCTTTATCAGATACGTGATTTGCAAATATTTTCTCCCAGTCTTTGGCTTGTCTTTATTATTTTAACAGTGTCATTTGAAGATTAGAAGTTTCTGCTTTAGTAAAGTTTAATGTACTAATTTTGAGGAGAGGGTGTCATATCCAAGAAATCTTTGTCTAACATAAGGTCATAAGTGTAATCTACTAGAAGTTACATAGTTTTAGGCATTACAATTAGGCCTATGAACTATTTCGAGTTAATTTTTGTGTATATATATGTATATATGTGTGTGTGTATATATATATATATACACACACATATATATGATTTGAGGTATCGACTGATTTTTTTTTTTTAACTGATGTCCAATGTTGTAGCACTCTTTGGTGAAAATGACTATTCTTTCTCCATGGAATTGGCTTTTTATCTTAGTCAGAAATCGGTTTATGGGTTTATTTCTGGACTCCCTTTCCTGTTCCAGTGATCTGTTTGTCTGTGTTTGTGCCAACAGCATACTTTCTAGACTAAATTTTTTAAGTTTCTCCAGAATAAGAACCATGTTTCATATCTTTTTGCAGAGCCAGTCAACACTTAACCAAGCAACCTCATGTGAACCAGTATGTTTATTGTATTGGAAAAAACAAAACTTTAATACAACCATTTAAGGAGAAAATGTGGAGTTGAAAACCTAATTTAAGGAGTATTTAATATTTTGAAACTTTTGTGCTTGGCATGTGAAGTCAAAAAATGTCAGAGATTTTCAGTGAGCTTGCACATCTTTGAAACTTAACTTAAAGGTCTCAGTTTGTAATTAAACCTGTCAGTTTTCCTCTCTTCCCATGTCTGTGCCCTGCATGTCTCCCTATGCATTAAATTTTTTCTTTGTTTTGCAAAACTAATTTTAAGTTATGTGTATGTGAATGTGTTTCTTTTATTTTTTTCTTTTTAAAAGTTTTATTTTTGTTTTTAGAAAGAGGGGAAGAGAGGGAGAAAGAGAAGGAGAGAAACATCAGTGTGTGGTTGCTTCTAGTACACCCTCAACTGGGGACCTGGCCCCCACCCCAGGCATGTGCCCTCACTGGGAATCGAACTGACAACCCTTCGGTTCCTAGACCAGCACACAATCCAGAGCCACATTGTAGCCAGGGCTGCAGTGTACGTTTTCAGTACATCCATTCATTGGATGATCTTTGAACAGCCAGTAAATGCCCGACATACAACAGCAAAACAGGTAATGCTTGCTGCCCTCGCGGAATTTGAAGTCTAGTGCAGCGGCTTCCACTGGGAATGGAATGGGCGACCTTTTGATTCGCAGGCTGGCACTCAGTCCCTGCACCCCACCTGCCAAGACCCGTGTAATTTTTTGTTTCATACTTTCCAGTGCTCTTTCTTTTCATATTCCATTCCAAGGGCATTTGACTTCCCAGTTCACTGTTTCCCTCTTTATCTGTGTTTATTCTGCTTTTCAATCCATTTATCCCCCCCCCAAAAAAGTTATATTTTTATTGTTGAGGCCCCTTTTCATGACTGCCCTTATTTGGAGGCTGTCTTTGTTTCATGAATGTTGTAGTTTCTGTTATCTCTGTGTATTTTGTTTATACTTACCTGGAAAGTTTGCTCTGCTTCCATTGTGCACTTGGCTTCTTCAGGTGAGCATCCTTCCGTTTGTTGAGTCTCCGTCCTCTTCTGTAATCTTGGCTTTCCTCCGGGGTTGGCATTTGAGGAAGTGCCTGAAGGGAAGATGGTGCTGCTTCTGCCTCTTGAGCTCCACGCACGTTGTGGGGAGAGTTAGGTGAGGTCAGGGTGTGACCTAACCCTGCGGCAGGGCGGCGCCTCCCCGCTCCTTTGGGCGTCACCAGCTGCGGGGGCACTGCCTCCCTCTCACACCCCAGCTCGCAGGCTCCCTGCTCCCACCCGGAAGGTATTCTGGAGGCAGGGCTGTCCCACCTGTTGGTTTCTCTAGGTCACACTGGAAGAAGAAGAGCTGTGTTGGGCCACACAGTAAATATACAAACACTGGTGAAAACCGATGAGCAAAGAACAATTTTAAGTAAATTCACGATTTTGTGCTGGGCCGCATGTTGGACATCCGTACTAGAGTCTGTGAGGGGTGGCGTCTGGTGGGCGGATGGGCAGTGGTGGCCGGAGCGGTGTATCTGCTGGCTCTTCTCACCTTGGTTCTCCAAATAATGACATTGTTGGTTGTCTTCCTTCCCCTTCCAGGGTAAATGAATAAGCATCTCTTTAGTGCTTAGAGGTCCTGGTGATCCAGGCCCAGGAGGACATTGCTTTGGAATGTCAGCCCTGGGTTCTTTTCCCGGGCGGCTGGCTCAGGAAACCTCCGCTCCTCACCCTCGAGGTTCCCTGCTTGTGAAGCAGAATTGTGCGGGTTTTGTGGCCTCCCGGGGGAGGGCGGTGAAACAGCATTTTTCAGTGCTTGCCACTTACTAAAAGCTGGCCCCTCAAAGAGTGGAATGATGTAGTTAGCACTGTCCATATTGGGAAAAGCCGAGCTGCTTGTGAACCATAAATCACATCTCAGGCGGAAGTGAAACTCCTTGAATTAACCGCTGTGAAAGCAGCTCACCCTCAGTTTTGTTTTGTGGTTTTCTCCAGTTCTGGACTTCAGCGATCCCTTCAGCACTGAGGTGAAGCCGAGGATCCTGCTCATGGGCCTGAGGAGAAGTGGCAAGTCTTCTATCCAGAAAGTGGTCTTTCACAAGATGTCCCCCAGCGAGACGCTGTTCCTGGAGAGCACCAACAAGATCTGCCGGGAGGACGTCTCCAACAGCTCCTTCGTGAACTTCCAGATTTGGGACTTCCCAGGACAGATCGACTTTTTTGACCCTACCTTCGACTACGAGATGATCTTCCGGGGAACAGGAGCGCTGATATTTGTCATAGACTCCCAGGTAACGCTCAGCCTTGGCCGCAGCGGGCAGCAGGCCCACTCCCCGGGTTCAGACCGGTCCCTCGGAGATGGTTTCAGTGTGGGGTCTGGATTTTAGAATTGGGAAGGGGCCGCTCTAACAAACAAGCGTTTCTCATTTGGGGCTCTCAGAGTCTCCTTCCTGCAACCCTGGTGAATGACTGATGACGTTAGGGGGCTGTAGCTGTGTGCGTCGCAGCAAATCGCTGATCTAGGAGACCTCACGGGTGGAGGGGACCGCCGCACAGGCCAGAGAGCAAATGCGTGTTCCCCTCTGATACTCTTGGCAGACATCCATGGAAGATCACAGGTTGCGTGCAACAGAAATAGGTATGCATGTAAGTTTACATTTTCAAATGCTCACTATTTCCTACGAAGATAAAGTTCCAAGTATGAAATTTTTTCTTCTGAGTTAAAATTATGGTAATCATTGATTACACAGGTGCACAATTGACAAAGACAATATAACTATCATGTATTTTATAGGTAACTTAAATGTAAACAGTAAAATTGGAGATAATTATATCTCTTAAGGAGATAGATATTTTTCCATTTAATTCATGTATCAATGCTTGAGTAAGACAGCACTTGGGATTGATTCTATTTTTGTTTTTTGTTTCTACAGATGTAACCACTGAAAAACCTCGTTCACACAAATAAGTAGATAGATACAGGGTGAGGTTTAATATAGCATTCACTCCATTATTATTATTGTTTTTAAAGATTTCAGCCCTAGCCGGTTAAAACATCATCCTGATGCACCAAGATTGTGGGTTTGATCCCCGGTCAGGGCACATTCAAGAACAACCAACAAATGCACAAATACGTCAAACAACAGATTGACGTTTCTTCAAACCAGTTATTCTTCAGATAGTCTTCAAACCAGTCTTCTGAATTCCTCTTTGGCACCCTGAGGTGCTATAGGCTGAGCCTTTCTCCTGTTAAGTGGAAGCAGGGCCCGTGTTAAAGGGGAGGTGAGGAAGGGAAGTGGCGGGACCACCGGTGCACCTCAGGCAGGTCAGTATTGGCAAGCATGCAGGCAGCAGGACCTGGATGCCCTTCAAACTCACCATGTCCAAGCGTCTTAGAAAGTGTACATGATATGTGGCCAGGCTGATGGTTCTTTTTTTAAAAAATATTTATTTAGTTTTAGAGCAAGAGGAAGGGAGAGAAAGGGAGAGAAAGATCAATGTGTGGTTGCCTCTTGTGTGCCTCCCACTGGGGACCCAGCCCCTGCAACTCAGGCATGTGCCCTGACTGGGAATCGAACCTGTGACTCTCTGGCTTGCAGGCTGGTGCTCAATCCACACAAGCCAGGGCGCTGACGGTCCTTTTATTGTAGCAGAGAGGGAATAAAAGGCAACAGGTCCTACCTAATGCACTACACCCTCTCTAAACTCAGGTCCATGTTTTCCTGAAACTGTGGACCTGCAGAGACAGGCGGGCTGAGCACCCCCAGCCCTTGCAGGAGCGTGGCTCCAGTTAGCGGAGAAGGATGGGAAGGCTTGCTTAGTCATCATGGTTCTAAGTCCACACCTGGAAAACTATTCTGCCAGAGAACATTCATGGAACTAGGCATTTAATATAATATTGAAATATATTAATATAATATTTAATATAACATTGAAAATTTCATCTAAAGCCTTTTAGTTTCAAGTGACTGCACTGGGACATCTAATGCAGTACAGGAGCTTGGCTGTGTGGTCAGAAAGGGTTCTCTCTTTGGTGGTGGGGTATAGCTGGGGGAGACATTTGAGTTCCAGTGCCTGATCTGGGAAAAGCAGGCAGTGCCTCTCCGCCCTTGGACTCGCCCAGAAGCCCATGCTTGTAAGACACCAGCATCGGGTCCAGGGCCTGCTGTCAGTCGCTGCTTTCCTGGCTGTCCCACTCGTGCTGACCTGTTTTCTGGCCCATCTGTGGCCTTGGCAGTATCCCCTGCCTTCCTGCCTCAGGTCTGCCAGCACCAAAAATCAGGAAGCCCGGCGCTGGAGGGGAGGGGAGTGTGCACTTGCTGCTGCATGGGAGGTGAGGCTCCGGGGATGTCATGGTCACCTGTCTCTTTTAAGTTCCATTTTTCCCCCTAAGTCACATCGCCGCCGTTTCTGTAGTTATTGGACTGGGTAGTGGCAGCCTGTGAGTGAGTATATTCTCTAACCAGTGGCTAGTGGATTTCAAGACAGTGGCTTCGTAAATAAATACTTTAATACTGTGTTGTGCTTACTTAGCAATTTGCGTTTATGGAACTCACATTTCCAAACCAAATCTGTCTCAGGTATTTGTATGATGGCTATACTTGGGCTAAAATAGGTATACTGCCTATGTTTAAATTGCAACCATAATTTAAATTTTTTTTTTATTTTGGAGAGAGAGAGGAGGTAGAGAGAGAGCAAGAGAAAGGAACTTTGACTCGTTGTTCCTTTTACGTATGCGTTCATCCTTAACTTGCAGCCCTGGTGTGTAGGGACGACGCTCTTAATGAACTGAGCTGCCAGGCCAGGGCCATAATTTGGTTTTAATTCTACCTAAACTTGAAAGTAGACCTTCAGTTGGGTTGGTAAATGTGTTTTTTGTTTTATTTCTTGGTTATTTGTTTGTTTTTTTAGCTGTAAGGCAGAAAAAGGTATAAGAATGTTTACAAAATTTATCTTTTTAAATTATACTTTTAAAAAAGGGCCCTGGCTGGGTGGCTCAGTTGGTTGGAGCGTCATCTGGGACACCAGAAGGCTTCGGGTTTGATTGCAGTTGGGGCACACGCCTAGGTTCTGGGTGGATTCCTCCAGGGCAGGGCGGGGGGCTGAGAGGGCAGCCAGCTGATGTTTCTTCCTCTCTCTTTCTGTCTCTGCCTTCCTCTTTGTCTCTGAAATCAGTAAAACATGTCCTTGAGTGAGAATTTTAAAAACATCGTATTTGTGGGAATCTTTGTAAGATGTGATTACGGGCATTAAGAGCACAGGCGTCCCAGCCAGGGTGCTTCAGTTGGTTGGGTGCCGTTCCACAAACCGAAAGGTCACTGGTTTTATTCCCAGTCAGGGCACGTGCCTAGGTTGCAAGTTCATGCTGGTCAGGGCCCTTATGGAAGGCAACCAATCAGTGCTTCTCTTTCTCACTCCCTCCCCCTCTAAAATTAAGAAAAAAAAAAGCAGCAGCACACGTTAGGGAAGTCTCTCAGAAGCACTTGATCATCATTTTCTTTATTCCTAAGCAGTGCTCTGGTGGTCTGACACCTTATATTTTTATTGTTTGCATGTGAATCCCTCACAAACACAAGATTTCCAGATAAATATATCACCAAATTCTTTACAGAATGTTGTATTGGGTTGGCCAAAAAGTTCATGTGGTTTTTTTTGTGAGGTGGCTCTAATAGAGCTTAGTTGTCTTTAACTTCATTTGAAACAATTTTGTTAGAATGTATTGTGACAGCTGTCCTATCAGCGTGTGTTTTTAGAGACTTCCCAAAATTGGTGAGTTTTTGTGTGGCCATTTTAACATGGAAGATGGAAAAAATAGGCAACATTTTTGGCATATCATGCTTTTTTATTTCAAGACAGGTAAAAAGGCAACTACGATGCAAAAAAAAAAAGATTTGTGCAGTGTATGGAGAAGGTGCTGTGACTGATAGAATGTGCCAGAGTGGTTTGAGACATTTTTGTGCTGGAGTATTCTTGATGGACCATGCTCCACGGTAGGGTAGACAGTTGAAGTTGATCGTGGTCAAATTGAGACATTAATTGAGAACAATCAGTGTAGGACTACGTGGGAGATAGCCGACATACTCAAAGTATCCAGATCGATAAAGTTATTGGTGAAAATGAAAAATGTGTTTTTTATTATACGGAAAAAAAAGTACAGACTCTTTGGCCAACCCAATAAAATAAAAGAAAGAGAGCAGCGAGAGTCCCTTCCCACGACCTGACGGTGTGACGCCACCAGCCCCCAGCAGAGCCCGCGGCACCAGGGCTCCAGGCCCCTGCGGCCCCGCAGCCGTTCCACACAGGCTTAGGGACCCGCGTGTCTGTAATTCCTAGATCTAATTTTGGATTGAAACTAGGCAGTATATTTTTTCTTTATTTTTACTTGTCATAGATGATAATAACAAACACAGTAGGAAAACTCATCCACAATCCCTCTGCTCTAATAAACCAAGTATTTTTCCTTTTTTATGTCGTTTCTAATCCTGTAGCTAACATACTATGTCATCAGTTAGTTGGTAGTCAGACCATTTTGTGTGCTTGGCAGGGAGGTTAGAGAGCCATTTCTAATCCTTTGAAACAGTGGTGCTCTCTTGACATTGTCTGGTTTTGCTCACAGGCATGTCCCTTTAACTCCCTCTCTGCTTATCTCAAAGTCATAAGCAATAACACTTTTTTGAGGTTAATATACATACAATAAAATGGCCTCATTTTAAGTGAATATTTCAGTGAGTTTGACAAGTGTGTACACCTTGTAACTATCTCACAATCAAAATGTATTGCATTTCTGCCATCCCCAAAAGATTCCTTTTTCTCCTTCCTCAGACAGATAGTCCCCAAGCCCCAGCCCCAGACAACCGCTGACAGGCTTCCTATCACCATGGATTGGTTTGCCTTTTCTAGAATTTCATATATGTGGAACCATTCAGTGACAGCTTTAGCTTTTAGTTGAGACACCTTTGTTTATTCAAGAAGTGCTGTAGATTATTCATCTAGAGTTTTTCCAATATGCTTAAGTCTGCTAGCCCAGTGTCCAAAACTTTCTTTTATTTAAAGCAACTCTTTAGAGTATGAGGATGAGAAAGACTCCATTTGCTCTTTGTCTGTCTTCATAGTTTCTTATTAGTGTCTTTAATATTTTGATTTATATAGAGACTCGGGATCATTTTACTAATTTAGTTTGGGGAATGGAAGAATGCCAGAAGCATCCCCTGCTTTATTGGCTTTCTATATCTGTCTGTGTTTGGAATCAAAATAGGAGGTGGAAGCCCTTTGAATTCTGTCCTGGATCCCTTTCCTTTTATTGCTATAGAAATAAGACGTTTTTCACGCCTTCAGATTGGCAATAATTAAGAGCTCTGACGACACGGAGTGTGGGTGGGTGCCCGGGGCACCGGTGCTCTTACACATTATCTGCTCAGACTCAGGGAGTTCATTCCTGTGGCCCAGCGGGTCAGTGTCCCACACCTTGCAAACACTCACAGAGACGCGTGTGGGAGACTGCCCGTTGTCATTGTCTGGGGAAACATTCTGAAAGTCCCTCAACAGGTATCAACAGTGATAAACTGTAGACCATCCATATAACGAGGTTTTATAGAGCTGTTAAAAGGAGTTATGCACTTCACTATAGGTGAATGTCACGGACATAATTTTGAGTGAAAAAGGCAAATCGAAACATATGTGTAACTTGATATTTTGTAAATTTTAGAACAATGTTAATGAATTCTGTATGTCGTGTAAGGAGTTATGTTTGTAGTATGTATGAAGAGATGAGTGAGAACACTGAACTTGGTACAGCGCCACCTCTGGAGGATGGAGGTAGAGCGATCAGGTGGGCTGGGAGAAGGGGGAGAAAACCACAGGGCTTCAGTGTCTGGACGGTTTCTTTCTTTCTTTTTTAAAGTTTTTTTTAAAGATTTTATTTATTTTTAGAGAGAGGGGAAGGGAAGGAGAAAGAGAAACATCAATGTGTGGTTGCCTCTCACATGGTCCCCACTGGGGACCTGGCCCGCAACCCAGGTATATGCCCTGACTGGGAATCGAACTGGTAACCCTTTGGTTCGCAGCCCGTGCTCAATCCACTGAGCTACACCAGTCAGGGCTTTTTAAAAGTTTTTATTGAGTAGGGGGGAGAGAGAAACATCTATTTGTTTTTCCACTTATCCATGCATTCATGGATTAATTCTTGTATGTGTCCTGACCGGAGATCAAACCCACAACCTTGGAGTATCAGGATGATGTTCCAACCGACTGAGCTACTTGGTGAGGGCTGATGTTTGATTCTTAAGCAGAGGGACACATGTACAGGTGTTCATTATATTATTACATAGGAGTCATCTTTAGGGAGAAGAAAAATAGTATTGTATTATTTGAGTCCATGATTGTAGACCACGGGTCAGCAATCTTTTCTGTCAAGGGCCACATGGTAAATATTTTAGGCTTTGCAGGCTATACTATCTCTGAGGAGTTTCCACAGAGGAAAACGACTCAGCTGCCATCAGAGCATGGAAGCAGTCACAGATACTTTGTAAACAAACGACAGTGGCTGTGCTCCAGTGAAACTTTACTTACAAGCCGCGGCATGGGCCCAGTTTGGCTGCTGGACACCAGTGGTTCCTAAAAGTTTTTTCCTCCCGGCTCTGTCCCCATCCTCCCAGTGACCCAAACCATATTTTCATCTCTCATTGTTTGTTACAGTTTACCAAGAGACTCACACATCTGGGAGGAACTGTGTTCCCAGGGAGGTCCTAGGGTGACCCTTGTGAATTTTCAGTTCACAAAATTGCAACTCTGATCTTTGCGATTGTTACCAAGCTGGTTGTAACTGCCTACAGCTGTGCACTCCTGGCCTTTTCTTTTTATCTTTTGTTAATAAAACTTAAGTTTTCAGTCTTGAATTCTATGAAACCAGCTTTTATTGGGCTTTTGCCAAATATTTTTGGAGGTTGTACCCGGATGGTTTCTAAATTAAGAATGAATGTGGGAAGGACAGACGTGGTTAGCTGTGAGGCAAGGTGCTGGAAACTTCAGTCAGCTTGATGGGGGGTCATTTCACAACAAATACGTGTATCAAAACATCACGTTGTGCACTTTAAGTGTACACTATGTTTCTTCACTAAGCATGCCTCAGGAAGGCCGGGGAAGCCCTGGCTGGTGTGGCTCAGTGGGTTGGGTGCCGCCCTAAGAACTGAGAGTCCGTGGGTTTGATTCTCTGTCAGGGCACAAGCCTGGGGTGCAGGCCACGCCCCTGGTTGGGGGCGAGCGAGACTCTACCAGTTGAGGTTTCTCTTGCACATCGATGTTTCTCTCCCTCTCTTCCTCCCTTCCCCTCTCTCTAAAAGTAAATAACATCTTTAAAAACAAAATAAAGCTGGGGGGGAAATGTGTGTGAAAGGCGACTCAGAAGGGTTTAGAAGGCAGAGCAGCCTGCCCTAACGGGAGTGTCCCCCTTGTTCCCAGGACGATTACATGGAGGCCCTGGCCCGGCTGCACCTCACAGTGACCAGGGCCTACAAGGTGAACACCGACATCAACTTCGAGGTCTTCATTCATAAAGTGGATGGTCTGTCAGATGACCACAAAATTGAAACCCAAAGAGATATTCATCAGAGGGCGAACGATGACCTTGCAGATGCTGGGTTGGAAAAAATTCACCTCAGGTGAGAAAAGAACCCCCTCTGGGATCACAGTGATGAACGGAGAAAAGCCGATTTGGGGTCCAGAGTCACCAGAAGTGGGTGGGCGTGGGCAGGAATTTACCTGTTTACCCCATTTTGTGCTGTGGACATTGGGATAATCTTTGGGAAAAGCAAGCTTTCCATGTGCTAATTCTAATCTTTGGGAAAAGCAGTGGCGTTTTAAATACATATATATTTTTAACAAATGGTCAATGCTAAGGTTCTTCCCCCATTTGAAAAACACATTAACACAAAACCCATGAGCATTATCCAGGAAGTTAATTGATGCTGAAGTTTGCAGTTCTTGATAAACACAGTAGTATCCAACTCTGGAGATATTCAGATAGAAGTACAGAAGAAAACCTCTTCTCTGCCACGCTCTGTGGGGCGCTACCTATGTAATCATTCTGCAGGTTGGAAAATGGCAAACTGAGGTTTTTTGGTATGAATAACGTAACTTCACTGTCCTGCAAGGCGTGGGCACAGATGGTCTGGTGTGCATGCTCTTGGAGAATGTAAGGAAGCTGGTATGGACACATACTATGCATTTTTTAAACGTATGGAACTCTTCACAAATTTGCATGTCATCCTTGCTCAGGGGCCATGCCAATGTTCTCTGTACCGTACGTGCATTTTTAAGCTTTCCAGTTCAGCCAGTCAGCATGTGAGAGCGGGCCCAGTTCTTGCTTTCTGGGTGGTGGGGAGGAGTGGCCTATTAAGTAAGACATGTTCAGTTTTTACCAAGGCTGTTTCCAATTCTGAAGGGGGCTGGACTCTGTGTGTAAGAGGTGTAGACACAGAAGGCAGGGGACTGGTGTTATGACAGAGCCTGAGCGGTCTATTCCTCCATCGAGGGGAAAACGTGATGAAATATTGTTTCCTCTTTCAGCTTTTATCTGACAAGCATATACGATCATTCAATATTTGAAGCTTTTAGCAAAGTGGTTCAGAAACTAATTCCACAACTCCCCACCCTGGAGAATTTGCTAAACATCTTTATCTCGGTAAGTAAATAATATTATTCCGTGAGTGTCATTTGCAGAATTTAAGAATAACATTGCAAGAGTGGAAATTGTCTTACTTCTGCTTGCTCTTCCAGCATTCAAGATCACTGAAGTATTACTTTGGGAGGTTGCTCCTCCTGGTTGTTTTAGGCAGCTATTCAGTGTTAATAGAGCCTTCCCAGAGGCAGGGAGAATAACATTGGGTTTGGCAATAAGATATATACTGTTGAGCCTGATTGATGAGCTGGCCGAAGGAGTCCTATAAACTACCAGCTCCGCAGAGTAGAACTGAGGCAGACCTGTTGGTTGTACTCACATTAATTCTCACTGCACAATTTGGAATTGGCTTGTTTAGATTCTTAAATTAATTTTTTAATGTAAAATTAGTAAAACTAGTGTCTACTTGGTCCCTACTCAGTTTGTTTACTTATAGTAAATAATTTGTGATAATTAATTCCACTTTTCATTTCTTACGCAAGTCTATTATAAAGAAGTATATGACAGTGAGGTTTAAATTGTAATCAAATGGAACAACCTGAAACTTTAGTAACTTAATTTTTGCTCGTTCGTTTTTTACATAGCAGATGGCATATAGTTTTATGTAACTGTGACCTGGTCTGAAATCAGCTGCTGCTCTAAGTCACCGTCTTCCTTTTGTTTTAGAATTCGGGAATTGAAAAGGCATTTCTATTTGATGTGGTCAGTAAAATTTATATTGCCACTGATAGTACCCCAGTAGATATGCAGACCTATGAACTCTGCTGTGATATGATCGATGTGGTTATTGACATCTCTTGTATTTATGGGTAAGTAAAATATTCTTACAGGCTACAGTCAAGCCATACTTCTCTCATAACCTTTGAGATATTTTGCATTTATTTATTTGATTTTAATACTTTTGTTTTAAATGACTGAGGTCTATAAATATACCATTTAGCATGCAATAATAAAAATAACAAATAATTATCGAGTGAATTCCTGGCATTATGCTAATAATCTCATTGCACACATTTTATCATTTAACTCTCCACCAATCCATGAGGCAGGAATCACTGTCCCCACCTTATTTATTTATTCAGTCCCCACTGTAAAGCTGGGCAAACTGAGGTTTACACTGGTTAAATTTCTAATCTTTGCTCACACGGTGAGTGAGGGATGGAACCAGACTCTGAACCTAAGCCTAACTGGTCCCTGGGGTTTCCCTGCTGAGGCTCTGCCATCATTGTCACAGTGTCTTTGTACACTCGGGAGAGACTGACAGGGTCCTTGAACTCTAAATAAGTATCTCATATTGACAGTAGTTCTATTATGTTTTTTGTTACAGGAGATAACTGCTGGATTGTTTTGAAAAATATATTTTTATTTTTTATTATTCAATTACAGTTGACATTCAATATCAATATTTTATTAATTTCACATGTACCGCACAGGGGTCAGACATTTATATAACTTACAAAGTGATCCGTTCAATAACATACTTTTGGTTTTTCTGTATTGTAAGTGGCAGAGAATTTTAAAACTAAGCCAACAACATTACCTATTTATTATTATGGACTTGCATTCTTAAAAAACAACTTTTTGTACACTTAAAATCATATAAAATAAACAAGGAGTGGGTGAAAACGATTGTTACCAGACACAGAAACAGTTCCACATAACCATAAATTTGGCGAATGGCCATCATAAAGAGTGAGTGTGAACTACTTTGTCTTATTAAAGACATCGAGTTGTTGCTGCCAGTTTACTTTGGATTTATATCCTCATCCAGTCATTGATGACTTTAAGCTTTTGTTCATCTTCTTTGCTCACTGTGACCTGCTTTATGTAGCCTCCTTTTTTGTGAGTCTCAGTCTTGCCATTTCTCTCCTGCAGTGTCTGAAAATCCTTTGCCTACTCAGTTGAGGTTCTCTTTGTTAACTGTTAGGCACACAGCACACACAGCCCCTTCTGTGGTGAGAAAGGGGAAGTGCTACTGCACAGCACTGTAGTGAGGATGGAATATCCCTGGGTTTCACTGGTAAATCCCGGTAAATATAGCTGCTGCTATTTATTATTATTATTATTATTATTAGTATTAGTAGTAGTATTAGTAAACAATGCCATCTGGCTTTAGAAATAGACCTTATTTCCTCAGATTATCGCCCTACAGTAATCTGTTATTTTTAAACTGTAAGTGAGTGACCTTGAAATAGCCATGAATCTGAATGTACCCAGATTACAGTCTAGATTGCTATGTTAATCAAGTACAATGAACAACACAATTAATCTTGCATGTATTTAACAATATGCATAATCATTATTGTGCCATATGGCAATTAGATGTAAGTGGAAAGTTGTTCATATGAATGACGTTAATCAGAGTTACTTCTGCCCAGCTGAAAGGAGCGGGGAGGGAGGGGTTGGAGGAGGAGGGAGCGGGGCCCTGCCAGCAGGTTGTTTCTATGGTAGAGTACAATGTTCCCGAGAACCAGCCGGGTTCAGTGGGAACCAGTCTGGGTCACAAGTGGGGCGGGGACTCGGCCCTGGGGTTTCCTCGGACTGTTTGCAAGGAGCCAGCCCAATTCATGGGGAGGGTTGGGGGAGGGCTGACGATGTGTGTGGCAGCCCAGGAAGCAGGCCGGCTGCCAGTTCCCAGCAGCTCCCTGGAGACCAGCAGGGTTTAGAAGCAGGTGACCTGGTGCCTCAGTCCAACTGCTCAGGAATCTCAGCTGAGCTTCTGCTGAGCCCTGCAGCTATACACAAACACACACTTCCAAATACATCCTATCCCCATGTGTTTTTATGGCTTTGTAGATGGAAATATGACTCATAGAAAATAATTGTTGCAGGTGTAAAACCTCACCAATATCTACTTGTAATTTTTTTGGTCTTTTTTTTGTTTTTCCAATTTGTTCAGTGTTTAGTGTTTTCTAATTATGAATGTAATCCATGCTCATTGCAGAAAATTTGTAAATACAAAAAAATAAAATTAGTCCATAATAGTCCATAATCATATGATGTAGCAAACTCACTAATACTTTTATATATTTTACTCTTATTTCTGTGTAGTTTTTAGGATAATGTGGTCACTTTGTATATTTAATTTTATACCCTGCTTTTTCCATTTAACATTGCCACTTAAGAATTTTCCTGTATAAGTACTGTTAACAAACAATGCTTAGTGTCTGTATAGCATAGCATTATATTTACTTGAAAATTTTAAATTCAGTTTTCTTCATTGCTTAAAATTTTTAAATGTTTCAGTTTATTTTCAGAACATTATTTATAAGCAAGATAAGTGCAGTCTGGAAAACCAGTAACTAAAAATAGCACAAAAGAAGTTAAGAATTCTGTTAAAACATCTTTTAACAGCTAAGACTTAACACTTCTTAAAATTTTTCTTTGCTGTTTTGGTAGGTTAATGAAGGGGACCCCCCAAAAAACCCAGAATTGTTTTTTTTTTAAAGATTTTATTTATTTATTCTTAGAGAGAGGGAGAAAAAAGGAGAAAAACATCAATGTATGGTTGCCTCTTACACACCCCTACTGGGGCCCTGGCCCACAACCCAGGCATGTACCCTGACTGGAAATCGAACCAGTGACTCTTTGGTTTGCAGACCTCAATCCATTGAGCCACACCAGCCAGGGTAGAACCCCAGAATATACTTATTAAAAATTGTGTATTTATTCTTGCATGTTTAAACTTCAGTTGCGTTCAAAGCACTGTCCATTTGACAAAATATACCCATCAAGACATTTCTCCCACTGCTCAGAACAGTGTTGGAACTTGTCAGTTTTGTTGCCTTTTAGTGCTTCTGCTATTTTTTGTTTCACCTCTTCCACATTGGCAAAATGTTACCCTCAGGCAAATAGAGAGGGTGGGGCACAGGGGTCATACTGTTTTGAGTCAAAAACTGCTGAACACTCAGTATGGTGTAGGCAGGTACACTCATAAATCACCCATCATGAAATGGGCAAACACATTGAGTCTTCAAAAAAAATTCACTGAAACCTAACACAGCCTCTCACAACAACACCAGCTAGTACATGGATACAGATGGGTTCCTAGAACACTAACCTAGTGAGGAAAGTCTGTACTACCAGGGGCCTGCCCTCCAGAAGATAATTTTGGGGTTTTTGGGTCACCCCTCATATAGTGAGTTGAATCCTTTTATAATAAACTAACTTCCACAATTTACTTTTAAATAGCCCTGCACATACTGGTTTAAAATACTCTCAAATCTAAAAGCCTACATCTCCTTTAAAATACTCTACAATTCAGGCATTTTCATTTAATAGGTTTGTTACCCTGATACGGACTCTGGCCAGCAATGTCCATGATGTTATGGATGAGATGAGACAAATTCACAGGGACCACTGAAGTCCTGTGGAGGAAAAGGGGCAGCACAGCTACTCTGTCAAAGAGGGGAGAGTGCCTCGACCCTTGACTACTAGACAAGCTTTTATTGGCTTTCTGACAGCACACATCAAAGAATGTTCTCATTCATTATGCTCAGGTTTACTTTAGGTGATTACTTTTACTGATAACAAAGGAAAGGATGTTACTGATTACTTCCTACAGATTAACAAGGGAAAATGTTGCAAATGCAAGGGAATGATAACAGTAATTGGTCTGGTTACACTTCAGTCCTTGGGAGAATTAGCACAGACTTCAGGAAGTTACTTTAAAGATATGCAGTAAGCATTTGTGCTTCAACTCAGGGTGAGGGAGTTTTAGCAAGAGCAAGTCTCAAAGCAGCCTAGGTATAATGCAGGCCTGGTCTCCCACGAGAGAACCCATCCATGGGTTTGGCGTCCTGTGTGCCGCCATGCACCTATGGGCTTTCCAATAGGGCTGGGCTACATTTGCCATTCCACACGGATAGGTTCCCTATATCACCCTATCCCCTTGTGATATTTATGTGATGAAAAGCATTGGCTCTAAAATTGGTCAGATGAGTTTAAAGTCCTGGCTAGACCCCATCATCAGCTTTGACCAAGTTCTCTCATTTCCCCAACCTCAGTTCCTCTGTCCCTACCTCAGAGGCTTCCTGTGCCAGACAGCATAATAACGCATAGTAAGAACTTAGAACCATGCCCATCACAGTGCAGGTTCAGTAAGTGAGGGCTCTTACTCTGCAAAGGTGGTAAGGTTTAGTAGCAGCTGAATTATTATGCTGTATGAATAAGGCTTATTTAGCATAATTCCAATTAAGTCAGATTTCTGGTCAGTCATTTATAAGTTTGGGAAGTGAAAATAAATCAGAAAACGTAGCCTTGCTACAGGGAAGGGCTCCTGTGCTTACGAGGAAAGGATACGTAATGCCATGGTCGCACCGGTGTTTCAGAGGGTCCAGGTTCCAAAAGTAAGGCTGCGGAGTTCAGAACAAATTGCCCCCAGATGTGCCTCTGCGCATGCACATTGATTCAGAGCGAGAGGCAGACGTTAGTCTTGCACTCAAAAGAAACTTCTGCTCCTCCCTTAACAATCTGGAGAACTTGAATTAGGGGCCTCGAATACAATAAAAGCTTATCAGTGGTAACCTTTTTGACTCAGCTATATGGCTGGACAAACATTTGTTAAACTATCTGTTCTTTTTATCAGCCTGCAATAACCCTTTGACACCCCCAAGGAGCATAACCTCATCCCTCGCTTTGGATGTCTCATATAGCTAGAACCCCATTCTGTCTCTGGACCTCTCAGGTGCGCAGGGCTCCCATACTATATGCATGTGTTAAATTTGCTTATTTTCTCTTTGCTGATCTGTCTCATGTTTATTTAACAGACCAGCCAGAAGAACCTTGAGAGTAGAGGGAAGTTTGTTCCTTCCCTATAAGGCCAGAGTAATAATAATAATAATAATAATAATAGCAATTAATATTCATTACGCATTTTATGTGGTCTTAACACTGTGCTCAGTGCCATATATATATTATTTCATTACATTAGGACACTTTGAAGTAATTACTGTTAGTATGCAGATGGGGAAATTGAGGCTTACAGAAGTTACTCAACTTGCCCAAGTTTACCTAGTGAGTAAGTACCAGGAAGCTGGGATCCAAAGCCAAGTCATCTGGGTCTGCAGGCCAAGTGAAATAAGCCAATCAGAGGAAGGCAAGTACCATATGATTTCACTCATATGTGGAATCGAAAGAATAAGATAAACAAACAAAATAGAAACAGGCTCACAGCTAGAAAACATTCTGATGGCTGTCAGAGGGGATGGGGATTGAGGGGCTGGGTGAAGAAGGTGAAGGGATTAAGGAAAAAAAAACCTCATAGGCACAGACAGCAGCATGGTGGTTACCAGAAGGAAAGGGGAGTGGGGAAGGTGGAAGAGAGCAAAGGGAGGATAAGTGGAGATGGAAGGAGACGTGACTTGGGGTGATGAACACACAAACAGTATACAGATGATGTGTTATAGAACTGTACCCCTGAAACCTGTGTAATTTTATTAACCTGTGTCACCCCAATGAAATCAATAAAAAATAAATAGACCCATCTATTCATTTAACATTTTATTTAGGATTTCTCAAAAGAGACCTTACAGGCAAGAAGGGGCTGGAAAGAGGTATTCCAAGTCATGAAATCCAGAGACCTACAACCAAGATTGCTCTATCCAGCAAAACTTTCATTTAGAATGGAAGGACAGATAAAGTGCTTCTCAGATAAGATCAAATTCAAGGAGTTCATCATCACCAAGCCCTTATATGAAATGTTAAAGGGACTTATCTAAGAAAGATAAGTTAAAAAAACATGAACAGTGAAAGGACAGCAAACTCACAGTTATTAACAACCACACCTAAAACAAAAGCAAACTAAAAGGACAGCTAGATCAGGAGTGGAAACATAGAAATGAAGATCTCAAGGAGGGTTAGCAACAGGGGAGTGGGAGGAGGAGGAGAAGGGGGGGAAGGTACAGAGAATAAGTTGCATAGACAGTAGATAGAAAATTGATGGGGGGGGCAAGAATAGTATGGGAAATATAGAATCTAAAGAACTTGAGACACATGGTCATAAACTAAAGGGGGGGTAATGGTGGGGACGGGGGGTAGGGTGGAGGGGAATGAAAAGGGGAATAGAACAACTGTAATGGCATAATCAATAAAAAATAAATTAAAAAAATATTTCAAACCTACAGAAAATGTGCAAGGATAGCACAGTGAATTCCTAGATACCCTTCATTGGGATTCACAAATTTCTATCAATTTGCCGTGTTTGCTCTCTCTCTCTCTCTTCTGTTCCGTACTGTCTGTTCGCTTGTGCTGAACCATTGGGAAGTTGCAGACATGTTCTCTGATCCTAGCTGTTTGAGCACCTATCTCTTAAGACAAGGACATTCTTTTACAGGACCACAGTTTAATTATCCAAGTAAACATGTTTAGCGGGGCTCTATTACTGTATTGTCTAATATGTAGCCCATATTCACATTTCACCAGTGGTACTACTTCGGTCTTTTATATCGGTTTCCACCCAGTCTAGTCTGGCACTTGCTGTCAGGTGTCTTTAGGCTTCTTTAATTTGGGGCAGTTCTGCAGTCCTTCTTGGTCTTTCATCAGACCGTGCTGGTGGCAGCCCGGTGATTCGGTCAGGAGAAAACAAGAGGCCCTCGGGAGCCACGGTGGGAGGACAGCCAACCCCCATTCCTCACCTGTGCCACTCAGGGGCCTGGAGAGTCGCCCAGCTGCCACAGCAGCCACTCCTTGTGTCAGTAGGAAAGTGACGGTCATGTAGTGTGTACACTCTTGTGATTGTGTGCCTGAAATCTTTAGCTGAAAGACACTGTACATGTAAACTCCTTGCCATTGTCCTTGTGTGTGGTAAAGCTGCTTTTTGTTGCCAGGTTACCATTTGTATTCTTCCTCAGTGGTCACATATGTTTTGGTTTCTCTCCCCATTTAGTCTCAGAGAAGACGGAGCAGGAACCCCCTATGACAAGGAATCAACAGCCATCATAAAGCTGAATAATACCACAGTTCTTTATTTAAAAGAGGTGACGAAGTTCCTGGCTCTTGTTTGCTTTGTCAGAGAGGAAAGCTTTGAAAGAAAAGGTAATTTGTGTGTGTGATTAAAATGGAGCATTTCAATTCAGACTAGTTCCGCCTTCACTGCTTGCTGAGTGTGGTTGGGGAGCAGCAGGCCTCTGGAAGCTTCCAGACGCCAGTCACAGGCCCCCATGGCCCCTGCCCACATCAGTCAGGGCTTGGGATCCCAGCCTGCCTTGCAGCGAGAGCTGCCCGGGAGGTAGAAGTGGAAACAACTGTCTTCCCAGAGGCCTTAGCTTTTCTGGGGGTGAAGCTAATTGGGGTGTTGCCAGGCTTAAGGTTTCTTCCCCAGGCCTCCCTCTTGGTCCACACCTCTGGATTTCAGGGGCGTGCCATCCCTTGTGCTCCCATGTAAAGGAGGGGCTCACGCAACATGAAAGATGGACAGTCTTTAACTTCTCTTTAGCCTCTGTATTCTTCAGTCCTCAAAACCCAGGGATAGCATCATGATTCCGGAAATAGAAGGCATGAATATACTGAATAACACCACCAGATATCTTTTGAATTTTATTTTAAAACCAAAGCAGTTAATCTCCTAAAGATACTCCTTTTCTCCCTGCCACCTAAACTGGGAAATACCACTGTAGTGCCATGGCTAGGGGTGTTTGCTGGTAACAAGGGTATGATCCACCAATTTGTGGGGTAAAAAAAAAATCCCTACAAAGTGGCGGCAGTAACACTTACTGAAATAGCTGTTTTTTCCTTATAAAGTAATACATGCTCATTATAAAAATACTTTGAAAACTTAAGAAAGTATAAAGAAGAAAATAAAACCACTCGGTGTCACCATCTCGAACTACACCCACGTTAAATTTCTGGTTTGCTTTCCTTCTCCTCTCCCCGCTCCCTTTCTGCCCCTCCTCCGCCCTGCCTGCCTCCTTCACCTCTCCTTTCCTCCCCAAAAAGCCAGGGTGTCTATACTGTTGCACATCCTGTTGCTTTCACTTATTTATACCATGAAATTGGTTTTTTTTTAAAGATTGTATTTATTTACTTTAAGAGAGAGGAAGGGAGGGAGGAAGAGAGGGGGAGAAACATCCATGTGTGGTGGCCTCTCACACCCCCCCTCAGCTGGGGACCTGGCCGACACCCCAGGCAAGTGCCCTGACCGGGAATGGAACCGGTGACCCTTCAGCTCACAGGCAGGCACACCGTCTACCGAGCCACACTAGCCAGGGCTGTCAGGAAATTGTCAAAAATGCACTGAGCATGAAAACATAACCTATGTTTCATTGTTTCTTTTTATTATAAAAGTAATAGGTTCATATAGAAAATTTAGAAATAAGCAAGCAAAAAAGTAATTGTTGATAAACTTACTATTAACATTTTCTGTATAACTTTTGAGCCCTTTTTCATATCTATCTCTTACCTGTATATGAGATTATATGATAAATACTACTTTATAAACTTCACTTAAATTGTTACAGATGTCTTTATAGTTTACTAAGTCTTTTTTACCACACCATTTTAATGGTTGTGTTAGTATCTTCTGTTGCTAGAAATTTACGTTGTTTTCCGATTTTGATGTTATAAGTAGTCTATGATGACCTTATTTGCACTAAATATCTGTGTACATCTTTGTTTCCTCAGAAAAAACTTTTTAAAAAAATATTTTATTTATTTATTTTTTGAGAGAGGGGAAGGGAAGGAGAAAGAGTAGGAGAGAAATATCAATGTATGGTTGCCTCTCATGCATCCCCTGCTGGGAACTGGGCTGCAACCCAGGCATGTGCCCTGACTGGGAATCGAACCGTGATACTCTGGTTTGCAGGCCCGCGCTCAATCCACTGAGCTACACCAGCCAGGGCCTAGAAAAAACTTTAACAAATGGAATTACTTAGATCAAAGGGCAGGCACGTTTTGGTGGCTTCTAATACATTATTCTCAAAATGTCCTTTAGAAAGATTTTATGGGTTTATGCTACTAAGAGAATATGAGTGTGTCAATTTTGCTGTACTCTTTTTAATATTAGGTTTTAGCATTGAAAGTTGGTATATCATTTAAATTTACATTTCCTTGTTTCTTAGTAAAGTTCTCTGTGTGTTTTTTCCCTGTATTTACCTACTGTTGCCAATCAAATTGCCTTTTGTGTGTTTAGCCTGCAAAACTTTTAATTAAATGGTATTAATCTTTTATTTCTCATTTTTGTCTCGCTGAAAATAAGAACAGATTATATAATAAACTCATGGTATTTTGAAGATAGGACCATACTTTGTTTCACTGTCTCAGTTACGGATGATTTTACCCAGACCCAGGACTCCCAAAATAGGGTCATGCTGGCAGTGTATGGCAGCCAGGGCTGAAGATTCCTGGGCTTCTCCCCATGTGGAATCAGTTGTATATGTTGTGTTTTAAACCATTATACATACGTTTCCTTGGTTTAAGGTATTTCCAGAAATTATATTTGATGATTAATATTTCATGTTAATCTTGGAGGAAAAATAAAAGTCATGCCCATAGTACAGCTACAACCCTGTAACCATCTAGGATGGTGGCAGGTCCCAACATCATATTAAACTGGAACACCCTGGTCAGCATGGCTCAGTTGGTTGGAGTTTTGTTCTGTAAACCAAAAGGTTGCAGGTTCAATTCCCAGTCAGGGCATATGCCTAGGTGTGGGTTAGGTCCCCAGTAGGGGCCCATACAAGAGGCAGCCAACTGAAGTTTCTCACATCAATGTTTTTCTCCCTCTTTCTCTCCCTGGCTTCCCCTGTCTCTAGAAACAAGAAGCATGTCCTTAGGTGATGATTAAAAAAAACTGGAGAGCTTATTTTGAACTGATTTTAGACTTAACAGAAAACCTGCAAAAACAGCACATAGTTTACATATACTCCTTTCTTTTAAAAAAATTTTATTTATTATATTTAGAGAGAAGGAACGGGAGGGAGCAAGAGAGAGAAAGAAACATCAGTGTGTGGTTGTGTCCCGCGCGCCACTTCCTGGGAACCTGGCCTGCAACCCAGGCACTGGTCCCGACTGGGAATCAAACCTATGACCCCTTTGGTTTGCAGGCCTGCACTCAGTCCACTGAGCCACACCATTTAGGGCTACGTATGTTCCTCATCCACCTCCCCCAAATGTTAACACTTTACGTATTATAGCACAGTTGTGAAAACTAGGGAATTAACATTGGATAATGCCCTCAGCCAAACTATACCTTATGTAAATTTAACCAGTTTTTGCAAAAAATCTGTTTTCTGTTTCAGGATGCCAAATTGATTTAGTTGTTGTATCTCCTAGTCCCCTCCCATCTGTGGCAGTTCTTCATCTTTCATGGCCTTGACACTTTTGAAAAGTACTGATCAATTATGTTGTAGACTGCCCCTCAGATTTAGTGTGTCTGATAAGTTCACTTATTTGGAATGAGATTACGCACTTGGCAAGAACACCACATAGAGATGATGCTGTGGCCCTGGCCCACGTGGCTCAGTTGGTGGGAACATCATCCTGTGCACTGAAAGGCGGTGGGTTTGATTCACAGTTGAGGCACATACCTGGGTTGTGCGTTTGATCCCTGGTTAGGGTGCATATGGGAGGCAACCAGTTGATGTTATTCTCTCTCTCTGGAGGCAATGGGGACACCCTGGCTGGTGTGGTTCAGTGGATTGAGTGCTGGCCTGCAAACCAAAGGGTTGCTGGTTCTATTCCCAGTCAGGGCACATACCTGGGTATCAGGCTAGGTCCCTGGTAAGGGGGTGTGCAAGAGGCAACCATACATTGATGTTGCTCTCCCTGTCTTGCTCCCTCCCTTCCCCTCTCTTAAAAATAAAAAAAATCTGCCTTGGCTGGTGTAGCTCAGTGGATTGAGTGCAGGCTGTGAACCGAGGGGTCACTGGTTCAATTCCCAGTCAGGGCACATGCCTGGGTTGCAGGCCAGGTCCCCAGTGGGGGCCACATGAGAAGCAACCAAATATGGAGGTTGGTCTCCAGCTCTTGCTCCCTCCCTTCCCCTCTCTCTAAAAATAAAGAAAATCTTTTTAAAAAGCAATGGGGAAATGTCCTCAGGTGAGGGTGAAAAAAGAAAGAAATGATGTGGTACCCTCGGTGCATCATGTCAAGGCGTTAACGATGTTTGCATGTCTTCTACTGATGTCAACTCAGCTAAGGTGTCTGCCAGTCTTCTGCTGGAATGTCCCTGTCTTGTCTTTCCCTTTGTAGTTAATACAGGCTTTCAAACTATTCCAGTTGTGTTTCTCCCCACACTTTTGCCCCCTAATTTTAACTTCGCTCTATGGTTGCAGAAGTAAATTTAAGCAGGAATTTATCATGTGGATCTCTGGGTAAGTTATTCCACCCAAGTGGGATCGTCCCTGAGTATGAGCACACTTCACAGAATGTATTAAACTAACTAGAAACCTAGGTGTTAGTTTTAATGTCATTACTGAGAAATGTAAACAAATAGGCAGACCAAGTTTAACCCCAGTTGTGTTAAACTTGTGTGTTTTAAGGTGACTAACCATCTTCGTTTGTCTGGGACAGAGTTCATGGGACAGTAGACCTCAGGGCTGAAACTGGGAATGGTCCCAGACAGACCGGATGAGTTGGTCACCCTGCCTATTAGGTAGTTGTCTTTAAAAAGAATTTAGGCTTATAAATGCACGGAGTGGCTTGACTCTCACGTTGCTGAGTCCTGCTGGTACTGATTGATAATCAGCACTTGGTGATTAGCGTTTCTTCATGGTTGTTGGTCTCCGTCTGGGTTCTCATTAACGGTCTCTGACTGCTCCAGCAGAAGGGGGAGAACTGAAAGCAGATGCGGCGTCCTCAGCCTTGGCTGCACATTACAGGCACCTTGGAGGGAAGGTGATTAAAAAATACGGATACCTGGGTCCTTCTCCATATAATCGGAACACAATTCCTGGAAGGGGACCCTGCAGTTTGTTCAACTTTTTTGAAGTTCCCTGGATGTTTTTAATGTGCAGCTAGAGTTAAGAACCACTGAACCAGAGAAGGATGTTGGACCACTGAATAACTGTGTATGATGGTGAAGACAGTCCTGATTCTGTTCATGTCTCTTTTCTTGTATTTTCAACTGGCTTAAATGAAAGGTTTGAAATAACAAACTATTTCTATGAATGCTTACTTCCTTTAAACACCTCAGTTGTGAATTTTTACCTTTTTATTTTTAAAACTCCAAATACAGCAAGATGACTGTTTTTTTTTTCTTTTAAATTTGCCCATTTAAAAAAGTGAATGAGCTAAGATTTGCCGAAAGCTGTCGATAGGCCCTGACTGGTGTGGTCAGGGCACAGGCCTGGGTTGCAAGGCCAGGTCCCTGGTTGGGAGTGTGCGAGAGGCATCCACACATTGATGTTTTTCTCCCTGTCTTCCCTCTCTCTAAAAATAAATAAATAAAATGTGTTTTAAAAAGCTATCAACAGACTGTCTCTGAAATTTCCCAGGTTGAGTGATGGCACCCTTCTCATTGAGCCACTCAAGCTAAGCTTTCTTCCTAAGACATTTGGCTGCATGTATCATAGGCAGAGAATTCTTAGGGTCTCACATCTCACTTTCAAATTCTCACAGAATAAGATCACTCATTTGCTTCTTGTTTTTAATCACCTCATGGGCTTTTTTACCCCCCTGTTGGTCACTATCACTGCAGAAGCAGCAGAGGGCGCTGCTCAGAGGGTTTCCTGCTCCTGGAAGCTGAGTTCGTGTTTCCTCCAGTGCACTGCAGTTAATTTTAAGACTAGTTTGAAGAGTTTTACTCCTTGGCTGGAATCTGAATTCTTTGTTTGGGTCTCTGGAAGCATTACCCGAGTGGATGGAAATAATGGTTGGGCTAATTGTTTTAATAAGTTTAAAGACAGTAAATAGAATCAACTGCCTTACCCTAATTGGTATAAGCATAAGGTTGGTCTCAACAATAACAAATTAGCAGACTTCTGCCAAGATGGAGGCGTAGGTGGAAACACTGTGCCTTCTCACACAACTAAGTTTAAAGACAACAAAATTTTAGTAACAAAAAACGCAGCCAAAACACAGAAAATTGAACTAACGAAAGTCTGACAACAACAAACCCTTCAGCCAGACCAGTAAGACGGGCGGAGCCAGCAACTGGTGGAGCGGGGTTGCGCAGGAAAAATCGGCCAGATTGACCCAGGCGCGCGGGTGGCGGTTGGTGGATCCTAGGCGTGGGGTTGCTACAGTTGGATCCAGTGATGGCGAAAGGCAGCAGGCTGACCGAGGTCACACATTCGCGTGCATATAAACCAGCAAAGGAGGGAGCATTGAGACAGACCGCGCAGGCCCCAGTGGCAGGAAGCAGCAGAGGGGACCGCTATTACCCCTCTGACCCCGCCCCCACATACAGCATCACAACCCAGCAACTTGGTTTGCCCCACCCTGGTGAACACCTAAGGCTCCGTTCCTCATACGTCACAGGCACAAACAGATCAAAAAATGGCTCAAGAACTCAGAGCTCCAGAGCCCATAACTCTAAGCGACCAAGAAATAGCCAAACTTTCAGATGCACAGTTCAAAACACTGGTGATCAGGATGCTCACAGAACTGGTTGATTTTAGTCACAAATTAGAGGAACAAATCAAGGCTAAACTAATTGAAATGAAGGGAAATACACAGGAAACCAATAGTGATGGAAAGGAAACGGGGGCTCAAATCAAGGGAGTGGACCAGAAGGAAGAAAAAAATGACCAAAGAATAAGGAAACAAGAATTCAAAAAAATGAGGAGAGGCTAAGGAACCTCCGGGACATCTTTAAACATTCCAACATCCGAATTATAGAGGTTCCAGAAGGGGAAGAGGAACAGGCAAAAGTGGAAACCTTATTTGAACAAATAATAAAAGAGAACTTCCCCATTCTGGCAAAGGAAATAGACTTCCAGGAAATCCAGGAAGCTCAGAGAGTCCCAAAGAAGTTGGATCCAAGAAGGAACACACCAAGGCACATCATCATTACATTAGCCAAGATTAAAATGAAGGAGAGAATCCTAGAAGCAGCAAGAGATAAGGGGACAGTCACCTACAAAGGAGTTCCCATCAGACTGTCAGCAGATTTCTCAAAAGAGACCTTACAGGCAAGAAGGGGCTGGAAAGAAGTATTCCAAGTCATGAAATCCAAAGACCTACAACCAAGATTGCTCTATACAGCAAAGCTCTCATTTAGAATGGATGGACAGATAAAGTGCTTCTCAGATAAGATCAAATTCAAGGAGTTCATCATCACCAAGCCCTTATTATATGAAATGTTAAAGGGACTTACCTAAGAAAAAGAAGATAAGAAAGATGAACAGTGAAAGGACAGCAAAGTCACAGTTTTTAAGAACCACACCTTAAACAAAAGCAAACTAAGAGGACAGCTGGATCAGGAGCGAACCATAGAAATGAAGATCACATGGAGGGTTAGCAATGGGAGTGGGAAAAGGAGAAGGGGGGAGAAGGTACAGAAAATAAGTAGCATAGACGGTAGGTAGAAAATAGATAGGGGGAGGGCAAGAATAGTATGGGAAATATAGAATCTAAAGAACTTGAGACACATGGTCATAAACTAAAGGTGGGGCAGGGGTGTGCAGGGTGGAGGGGAATGAAGGGGGGAAATAGAACAACTGTAATGACATAATAAAATTTAAAAACTAACAAATTAGCAGTGATGATAAAAAACATACTCAAGACTTTCATTATGTTATTCTATTTTTGTGCTGCTAATTAATTTCTAAAAACACAAGAAGATTCTCCCCTATTGTTCCTCCGTTTAAAATTTACATGATATTGAAGAACTGAGAATTTGTCATTGTTTGTTGAATTCTTGGGCTTGAGTTGACCTGAGGTGACTATTACCACTCTAAAATCAGAGACTTTGTTTTTTCCAGGGTTTATGAGAATGGTTTAAATATAATGTATATCCAGTAAATATTGATTGATTACTTGATTGATACTGTGGCTTTGATTTCTCACCCACACTCCAACTCAGGGTCTACCTCCACTTAGTCAATTTAATAATGCCTTTTGGGAAAAGGATATAATAAATATTTCATTGAAGGTATATCTTTATTGTAAAAAAAACCTTTCATTCTGAAAGATCAAAAAATGTGCAGTTTGCTTGGTTCTTCAAATCTTTTGAGTCATAGAAAGCTTTGAAAACGTGGCATATACTCTGGAAACTTTGCTTAAGGAAAAATGTACATACATCCACAGGACTTTGCCTGTAATTCCTGAAGGCTAGCAACAGACCACCTAGGGGAGGCTGAGGATTTATGTTAAGGCCGCTCCTCTACTGCCCCCTACTGGTTTATTCTTGCCATGACTGGCATGAAAAGATGGAGATTATTTCTGTGACATTTCTGAATGTTTTTGTTTTCTTCTCCAGGGCTTATTGACTATAATTTTCATTGCTTCCGGAAGGCCATCCATGAAGTTTTTGAGGTGAGAATGAAAGTGGTGAAATCGAGAAAGATTCAGAATCGGCTGCAAAAGAAAAAAGGAGCCACACCCAATGGGACGCCTAGGGTGCTGCTGTAGGTGAGGTTTCAGGAGCATCTTTTGAAATCAGACCTTTCCGTGAGGCTGCTGCACTGTGTTGCACTAACAGAAGAGGAAGAAGGAGATTGGGACAAATAACACAAATTTGTTGTAAAAAAAGAAAAATTCCTAGCACCCTCTTGATCTTTTCTTTTTTAAATAAAGCAAGCACTTTGAAGCAAAAACTTGTACATTAACAATGAAGCGAAACCCACTGTAATTTCATTACACAGATGTAAACTTTTTTGGTCTGTAGTCAGAAAAACCCTGTGTGAGAACTGCCAGAAACTGTATATATTTTGCACTTTTTCATGTTTTTTTCTCATTGAACTAAACTTTGATAAAACAACTTTTCTAAGATTTTTTCTGTACTTGGTGTCAAGGACATGCATACTGTAGTTTCCAGCTATATGGCAATCAGAAATGAAAAGGCGATGCATTAGCAATGACTTTTTATACATTTGGGAATCTTTGCTACCAATTGTTGAGAAAAATAATTTTTCAGTGAAGAGGGATCAGACTGGGGCAGTGAGCTCCTGGAGCAATAAGAGCTGCCCCTTGTTTATAACTAGCACCAATGGGAGTTTTGTTGAATAATATTAGCGCCAAACTTATCTAAATGTTTCTATAGCTGCAGCAGTGCTTCCCTACCCAACAGTTTTTACAGAGTTCTTTACCTCCACACACATCTCTAGAATCGTTTTATACGGAGTGGTCGTTTCTTTTTGCCGTGTGGCTATTCTTCAGGATCTCTGGGACCAGATTTCCAAAATGGTGCCAATCACTTGAGCCAAATGAGAATGTCGTTGAATTGTAGGGTTTCTGGAGGCTGTTTTGTACCTGCCACCCAGGCTGAAGTAACGTCAGAGGGCACGTGGCTTCCCAAATGCAGGTGATTGGCACCTGCAGATGTAAAAATATATACACAGTTCTGTATGTTTGGCCTCTGTGAAATGGGCCTGTTATTGTGCAACATCTGAAATGTTTGTTTTGGACTAGCTGTTTTGTTTTGCTCCACGATCACAGAGAATGTCTCATCTCTAGCATAGAGCCGAATCCTTTGGCGCACATTTGTCACCTCTGCATGTCCTTCTTGTCTGTGACAGTGCACCTTGTAGACTCTGCCTGTTCCCACCCTGTGATTGAACTAGAGCTCAACCTGCCAGCAGCATGCTCTGCACAACTGAAAAGCCACTCTGAAAACCCCTACAGCTCAGTGGGAAGGAGATGGCCGGAGGAGGCATAATAGTTAGCTATGCATTTGTTTCTCTGAAGTCCCATCACTTACGTTTACTTTAGACTAATAGCAAGTTAAGAGACTCCTAAATCTACCACGGTCCCAAACCATTCCAAGTAGATAATTCTAGGTCTGTTTAAAGGGTCCATTCCTAAGGCATGCTTGTGGGTGTTAGAAAATAATATTTTTTTCCTTTTAGCAGAGCCTCATAGGGATAACAAAGCTGCTCCTAGCAAAACTGTGTCAGGCTCCTAAGGCAGCTTGTCCTTAAAATTATCCCACTTCTGTCTGTGACTTCCTTCTACTCTTTGTCCTTTCTCTCAAGTCATATTCCTTTGAGGCTGGTAACTGTAGTTTAAAATGGTAGTTGATTGGGGTTTAAGGTTTGAGCTCTCTCGACGCATTGTGCATTTTGGAAGAAAATTTCTAAAAATCCCGAAGGAGCCCTGCCTACCTTCCTCATAATTTCTGCTCAGAAACCCAGATGAAGTCTTTTCCCTTTTGCCAACAGGCCTGGTACCGGGCGGGGGGGGGGGGGTTATTACAAATAATTCTGTAATACTTTTTACACGATGTTTCTTTTTGAGCAAAGAATTGCTTTTCTAATGTGACTTTATCCTCAACAGAGACACTTGCCTATCTGATAAATCACACATTGTTTAGTATATACACATACTATTGTAACCAGTTGGAGCTTCCATTTTTGAGTTGGGTATATGATGGGCTTTTGTTAAAATGTGCCTTAAGAGCCTATTACTTCAAGAGCAAATGATTCTTTGGGGGAAAGGCAAAGTTAATGCTATGGTATAAGGACCCAAGTTCATGGTACTAAGTGTACTCTTTGTTTAATCACATGCAGATATACAGATTACTGCCTCAAACCATGGCAATGACCTCTTACTTAAAGAGAGGTACTGGAGTTCTAAGTGTTCAGTTTTTGAAGTCTGTGCCACTGAAATTACAAAATCTCTCAATTCCTCGTACATTTTATTTTTGATAAGGGATTTAGCTTGCTGTGACATGTATGGCCACGTTTAGGTCTCAGATCCAATGCTACAAATACAAAACCCAAATACATGGCTACAGTGACGATTCTGGAACATTCTCACTCATTCTCAAAGGTTGAGAACATGACCTACAGGTTTCTTGGGCAATTAGAACTTCTATATAGAGGTGCTAATCTGTAGATTATCATTTTTGGTTATTTTCAGTTATGTAGATTAGTGTGTATGACCAGAGTAGAGTGCTTTTGAAGGACTTTAAGTCAAAAACTGTTGACATTCAAGATCAGTGTTATTTTGTGAACATGATATATTTTGGATCCTTAAATACAGAATGACTAAAAACACAGCACTATCATTACATACAGGTTATGTGTTTACTCTGTTTGAAACACACTCCAGAAAAGCAGTCAACTGTCTCGATTAAGGTGCGGCATGAAGTCACCTTCTGTGGGCAGGGCATAATGTGTAATCGGGTGTAGTGTTGAGTTTTGCGTTAAGCAGCACGTCATTTGTAACCGGTGTTAAGCCATTGGTGTCACGAATGTTGACTGCCAATTTAAAAGCTTGTGGTATACGCTCGTGATTTGGTAAGCTCTCCTTTTTGTTTTAAGCATATTCCTAACTAATCTTTCAGGGACCAGAATGGTCTCTTTGGTGGAAAGGAAGTATGGTCTTCCATGTTTGTGAACTGGTTTACCACACACACATATTACTGCTTCACTGACCCTGTTTGGTCCCTTTAGTAAAACATGTTTGTCCTGATTACCAGCTTTCATTTTCTGGAAATGAGGATAAATCACTCTATTTAAGTTGGATTTGCACTTCTATTTTAATTTTTTTACACCCTCTTGTCTCTCCATATTTTTGATGGCAACATGCCTGTTTGGACTATAGAACTGTTATTTCAGTCAACTTCAGATATTAATTCTGCTATCCTGGCCCTAATCCCTAGCCATCTGGAAATTCTCTTCCAACAGGGCACCTTATCTATCACTCCTTCCTTACTTAGTAAGATTCTATCAGATGACTTTTACAGATCCCCTAAGAGTTTTCAGAGAGCGCTAGCATTAGGTGTTATACCTAGTATATGAAATCCTGTTTCTGATGGAAAGCCTGATCTGAAATAATTATTTCCAAGATCTTTAATCAGTGGTGATGTTTGACTTAGGAGGAAGAGAACATGGTCTTTAACAGATTTACTTAATAAAATACTGAATACACACACACAGGACACCACATGCTGCTCTTACATGCATTTATATGACTTACTCTCAGAAATCCAAGAGGTAGGTACTGTTATCACTCCTGTTTTATAGATGGGGCAGCTGAGTTCAAAGAGATTAAGTGATGTTACAAGTAAGACACAAAGTCTGGAGTCTGACGTGAGTCACTCTCTCAACTATTGCTCTAAGTAGCCTCCTTGAATGTCCCCTTCAATGCCCTCCTTTCTCAGATATGAAAAGGGGGACTTGAAGTTTAGGAATTACTGCTGCATATGTTTAGGAAGGCTGAGATGCTAAGATATTTAAAAATACTTTTCCTTCCACGAGAATCAATAGGAGCAGTCTTCTAAATGTGCTTCACTCAGAGAAGAAAGTCAGTAAATGCTATGTTTTTTTCTTTCTAATCCAGTCAATGACTCTAGAGCCAAAAATATTAACAGAGTGTTTAAATATCAGAAGAAATTTTAAGTACATTTTATAGCCATTTGGTTTTCTAAGAAGCATTAGTATATCAAACCCTGAGGGAAAGGGAGAATAAGCTATTGATCTAAACTGTATTCAGCTTTACTTTGAGTTTTTAATATATATAACAATAATTTGTAGGAAATAAAATCCTGATTTGGATTAAAATAAAAAAGATACATATCAATCCTAATCCTTCAGACCTATATTTAAAATTGCCACTATTGTACCTCAGGGGGCTTTTCTACACGAGGAGCTTTTCAACATGTCCAAAAGTCGAAATGGCTTCTTTCTCGATGTATCTTCTCCCGTGGTGGCGTGACTGTCTTCCCTTGCATTCCTGCTAGAAACGTGGTTCTCATGCTTGACTTCCCTCCCGCTCACCTCCTCCCATCAGTCACCCACTTGTTTGAGGTCAGCCTTACGGACCGCTGCCGTTGATTCTCTTCTCTCCATCTCTTCTGCCACTGTCCTGGTTTACACCACCATCCCCTCTTATTTGGATCTCAGTAGCCGCTTAACAGTTTCTGCCTCATGAGTCTCTGCCTCATGCATCCACCTAGTCCATTCTCTATACAAGATGCAGAATGACCTTTCAAAACTACTACAATTCTGATCATATCACTTGTTCAACACCCTTCCTAGCTCCCCATTATGGATATCAGTCAAACTCCTTAATCGAGTTTGCAGGACACTGTCTGCCTGGTCCTTACCTCGCTCTCCAGCCTTGGTTCATCCTCCCCTTAACAGAGCTGGACCAGCACAACCATACCAGGTGGTAAGTTAGACGAACGGTGAATTTTGGTTCCTTTGTCAGTCATTTTCCGGGGGAAATAATTTTCTTTCTTCAGAGACAATTCTTTCGTTTTTAAAGATTTTACTTATTTATTTTCAGAGAAGGGGAGGGAGGGAGGAGAAAGAAAGAAACATCAGTGTGTGGTTGCCTCTCACGCACCTCCACTGGGGACCTGGCCTGCAACTCAGGCATGTGCCCTGACTGGTGATTGAACGAGTGACCCTTTGGTTCACAGGCTGCTGCTCAATCCTCTGAGCCACACCAGCCAGGGCTCAACTGTTATTGATAGAACACCTATTGTAAGACATTGTGCTTAGTAAAATAGCTAAAAGACAGATACTGGAGATGGAAGGATTTTAATATCTAAAAATAACAGGAAATAAATTAGTCTAATTTTAGATGGACCCTTATAGGTGTCAAAAGAGTTCTGTAGGACTGTGCTACTCTCCAGCGAAGACCACGGAGAGCTGTAATGAGCATATGAGAAGCTGAATTGTTCAACCAGTAGCAGATCAAGAGCCGTATTAGTATCATTAATTTGCAGTAAGATTAAGTTCATTTTAAGAAGTAGGTTAAGAAAGTGGAAATGTTTATTGTGTGCCTTCCCTTATAATTAAGAAAAAAGGTAAATTATCTTAGAAGTGTGAGCTTTAAAAATACATAGACAGCACGTGGTGCCAATTTGATTTGCAGATATCACAGTACCGCGACTCGAGTTCACAAGTTACAGCTTTGCCACAAGCTTGACCAGGAAGTGTGAGTTTTAAATGTTAGTTATCTTCATGTTCATACTTTGTTGACATCACTTCCAGAACTAGATTTAATAAAATGTTTATGCTATGTGTTACTCCTCTTTTCAGTCTGTTTGTCCCAGGGAACTGAGTGCTGCTTAGGGCAGATGCTGACAGTCTCTGAGAATGTTGACATGAGCCACAGAAGACGTGAGAAGAGCAGACTTCATTACCCTTCACAGCCACTTGCTTCTCTGATGCAGAGCTTCTGTACAGGCCATTCAGAATTTTGAAAGGTTGGATGATATTTTAAAATGGGCAAAACTTGGCCTAGCAGGGCCTCAGAAGTATCTACTTTTATCATATATGCAAGTGAAGTTCAGGCAGTGATCTTATCTCAGTTGTACCACCGGTATCTTTGCATTTTTTTCTGAGTCCTCACCCGAGGATATGTTTGATGATTTTAGAGCCAGAGAAAAACATCGATCAGTTGCTTACTGTATGCACCACAACCAGGGACTGAACCCTCAACGTGGGTATGCACCCTGACCAGGAATCGAACCAGCAACCTTTTGGTGCATGGGCTAACACTCCAACCAACTGAGCCACCCAGCCAGGGCTATGGTTTTGTTTTGTTTTAGTAATAGCTGTAATAAAGTGAAAATACAGGCTTTAATGGTCCCTATCATGATTTTAAAGGTACTTCAAATTGTGTCATGTTATTCCAAGGGACAATTCTTTTCCATAAAAACAAGAAAATTTAAATTATATACAAAATGATTTAAAGTAAGTAAATAGAAACAATAAGCCCTTTAATACGAGTCCAGTAAATGCCCATCAGTGGTATTTCTTTATAGAATATTGTATTAACTTCAGCAAATGATTTAGCAATGAAGCTGAAATGCAATCTGGTCCCCAGGATTTAATCTTGAAAAATTATCTTTTTAAAAAATATTTATTTTTAGAGAGAGAGGGAGAAAAACATTGGTGTTCCAGGGAAACAGCAGTCGGTTGCCTCTCACACATCCCTGACCAGGGTCCCTTTGGTTTATAGACTGTTGCGCAATCCACTGAGCCACATGAGCCAGGGTGAAAAATAAATTATCTTAAAACACAGGATGACCATGTGGACTTGCTCAAAGCAGTGTTTGAGTGGTACGATTGTACTGCCCTGGGCCAGACTGTAGGACTCATCCTTTATGAAATGCATTTTAAACTTTTTGTTGTGAACTGCAATACATACAATTCATATGGCAAACCATCACACCCTCATACTTGCAAATATTTTAAGTCTCAAAGTAGTATTATCCTTTCTACATACAATGCATTGTAGTATTTCTCTCGTACACTTTTTAAAAACAAGGTCTTAACAACTCATGAATGGGTCATGACCTGCGACGTGCAAAGCGCTGCTAGAGGGAACCCACTGGTCAGATTAGACACCCGAGGCTTTTCTTTCTGGACAAAAGCATTTTCCTTCTCTCTCTGTTAATTTTGAGATCTTACAAAATATAGGGGAAATTTGATCCAGTTCTTGAATTTTTCTTTCATGGGGTTAGTTTTCTGCTGTGTTTACCAGGGCAGTTTTACTTTCCATTGCCATTCCTTGGGTGTTTTTGTGTGCTGGGCTGTATTAAAAGTGGAGGGGTGGGCAGGTCCAGGGGGCTTCCGTTCTTAGAGGGTCATCTATTACTATAGCCTATTCTTGACTATAATAAAGAATTAACTTGAGTTTAGGAACTCATGAGGCCATATGTAACTTCTATGGGGTCCTTTGTTAATTCGGATGACATTGGTCTGACCCAATACCAAGAATCCCTGAGTTTGCCTTTGTGTCATCCCAAGAACCAATTGGACAAGCCCCTTCCCCATGAAAAGGAGCTGGTCTGGCCTCCAGACTCAGGGTGGAGGAGTAAGGTGGAGGGCGGCATTATTAGCGTCCAGCTGCCTCAAGCCTGACCACTTTGCTTCTTCAATCTGTACTAATAAGCTGCTGAGGAAAAGGGGATTTTTCTAGTCTTCCAAAACCAAAGGTCAAAAAACTAAGGCTCTTCCTTGAATGGCTTCTTCCATGTTAACCCTCACCATCATGGGAGAATCCCATTCCTACAAGCTGTTTCTATTTGCCTTCACCTTTATTGCCCAGTCCCTCAGCACCTGCCTAATTCTGTCTGCCTCCTCCTTGGGGAGAGCTCACCCGTGGAGGGGTCTGCCTTCACCAACCCGGTAGTCAGTAACCAGGACGCTCTCAGGCCTCGGCTCTCTGACCTGTATGAAGTGGTCTTGGTAGTCAGGCTTTTCACTTCCCCTCCATGCGAAGCAGTCATTAAAGGGGCTGACTGGAAAAGACCGGTCCTGTAAGTTTTTCTCTCTTGGTGGGAGAGGAACTCAGGTTTATAATGTGCAAAAAAATGGTACCTCCAATTTATGTCATAATGTCTCATTTAATGCCCTAGGCCAGGGTTTTACAAAGTTACCTCGTCTTACGAATCATCTAATGCCCTGGCTGGCGTGGCTCAGTTGGTTGGAGTGTCGTCCCCTGGAGTCTACTGAAGGGTTGCAGGTTTGATTCCTGGTCGGGGCACAGGCCCAGGTTGTGTGATTCCTGGTTCGAACGTGTATGGGAGGCAATCAATCAGTGTTTCTCTTTCACAGTGATGTGTTTCTGTTTGTCTCTCCAATCCCGCACCTTCCTCTCTAAACACAATGAAAAAAATATTCTCAGGTGAGGGTTGAAAAAAATTATCTAAGGTGCTTAAAAATGCTAATTCCTTTACTCCATTATTCCTGAATCAGAATCTCTGGGCAGAGGTTTGGGGATCTGTATTTAAATAAGCACCTTAGGCAATTCTTATAACTGGGAAGACATGGTTTGGACTGCTATTCAAAGGGACGGTGAAGGCCAGACGGTGGAGGACAAGCCCGAGTCACCTGGAGGACTCACTCCACTCCTTCCTTCACTCAGGGCGACGCTCACCCTTCCTGCGCTCCTCCGCTCCTCCGGGAACACACTCTCTTACCCGCAGGTATTAGTGCTGCTCTCCAACTCGATTGTGTAGCTTTTAAAGTCTGCATTATTTAATCTATAATTTTATGGATATAAACTAAGTAATTAAAAGGTATTTCAACTATTTAGTTACTTCAGGACTTATTTACATTTAACATCACAAATTACAAAAAATGGTGTTAATTTAGAAAAATTGCTTTTGCCTCAAATCATTCGAATCCATCACAGGCATCTTCTACAGTGTTTTGAATCATCTAACAGATCCTTTCTAGTTGAGATAGAACGTGTTTTAAATTGAGTAGATACTGTCGGTGAAGATTTTACTGAGTCTTAAGAACCACTGGTTAAACATTAGCACAGATCCCCCATACCTGCGTATTCATGATCTCCACAAAGAAGTACTTTGTGTATTCCTCTTCTCAGTGACTTTTTAAAAAGCCAACTACCAGTATAATCTCCAGTGCTTGCTCTCCAAATCATACCCCTAGGAATAACTAATAAATGTCTTTGCCTTCCCCCCAGACTTTGTTATGTGACTGTCGGAAGGCAGAAAACTGCCCTTACGTGGGGTCCTTTCAAGACATTTGTCTTCCTGGGAAGTATTTCGTTTAAACAGCACAAAATAAACACAAACATATAAGACACTTCTTTTTTTCTGAGGAATGATATATTTGGGAAAAGTCTGCTCTCTATTCTGGCATGCAAAGTATATATTTCCATTTAAGAAAATTTGCACCTAAAGTCAACTTTAGCTTCCGGGGGAGTCACACTGGCTTGGCCATTTTCTCACAAGATGCTAGAAGGCAGATGGGGTGTGGCACACCTTCACCTGCTGGTTCTTTTGTGCTAAAAGAATATATTATGGGGAAGTCCAGGACTGCTTTTTAGAAGTTGATGAGCTGGTTATTACTCAAAGTTGGCCTGTAATTGTAAAGTGAGTTTTAAGGGGAGGCAGCGTAGGGCTCTTTGCTTTAAAGATGTTAATAATA